AAAAAAAAAAAAGTATGAGAAAAAAATAAAGATTATTATGCAAATCCACCCCCAAAAAGCATGGTCAATGAGAAACCGGAAATGCCATAAAACTCAGTAACTCATTGTGCAGGTGCAGACAGCAAAGTACACTCAGAAATAGGATGTGCATCCGGCAAAGAGCAGAGCTGGGATTTGAACGTGGGTCTACTGATTCTTAAGGAAAGCCTCTATGGCCCTGAGGGGCGGAAGCTCACCATAAATTTCTTGCCCTCAGAAGTGGCCCTAGCCTGTGCCGGTGATGCCACTGGGCACGCTCAGGCTGCCCCGATACTTTGGACCAGAGGCTACTGGCTCCTCTCCCCCAAGGAGCGAGCCCTGGGCATCGTCTCCCCACACCCAAGAGGCCGGGGCGCCGGGTGTACTCACCTCCAGTACACTAGCACAGCAATGAGAAGGATGAGGCACACGAAGGTCAAGGCTGAGACCACAATCAGAGGGATGATCCATTCCAACCTCCCTGGAGAGACACGGCTTGTCATTCCAGAGGTGTTCTTTTCTGCTGCAGAGAGAAAACAGCTCAGTTAGAGGAAAGAGGGAGCGAAGCTTGGGAACCAGAGTGAGACGCCGAGCTCAGGGTGGTTTCTAGAGCACCGGGCTGCTTGCTCCCACTGCCCTGTGGCAGGTGGAGCTGTCTGCAGGCCGCTCTATGTCCTACTGGGTCTCTACTCAGCCTGCATCTCTAACGGCCACTGGGATGGATTTTCTCACAAGCTGAGGATGGTTTACAGGAGAGCTGTGCAGAAGACAGATGTCCAGCCTTACTCCAAGAATGTTACCAGCCCAGAAGAGTGCCCTGAGGAAAGGCGATTAAGTCCTCAGAAGAGGGCAGGGAGCTTCCTGTGTTCCCTAGAGCGAGGGCAGGAGAAGCAGCACGATGCTTTTCATGAGGTAACCCGGACGGCCACTGGGACAGTGGTGCCATTGATTCTTGCCAGTTTCCCTGTTCCTGCCCCTTCCTAGAGCGGCCACACGCCCATGTAGCTTTGGTACACAGCCACGGATGAGGCTTCTTGCTCTCCTGCCAAGGTGGGCACAGGACTCAAGCAAGGGCAGTGGCCACTCCTGCCTTGGCATGTCTACCAGTGACAAAGCCTGGCCCCTGGCACCTCCCACCAGGCGCACCCCAATGCTTCTGCCCAGCAGCGCCCCTTCAGAACCTCAGAGAGTCTGCTTTTCCTCAAACCTGGTTCTCCAGCATTTCCTCGCTTTCTGTCACCAGCTCTCGAGCCTTCCAAAAGCTCCAAGATAACACAGGACAGGAAGCCATGCCTTACCCTCTAGCAGCACAGGTCTGCCTCTAAGTTGCACAGTCTTGGGGTTAAGAGGGAACATTCATCAACTCGTTCAGGATTTTCCCTGGTCAAGGAGAACCTCTTGTCCAGGCAGCTCTTTCCTCTGCCTCTCCAGGCCCTGAGGATCTTCAGAAGTCTCAGGAGCCTCGCTTGGCAGGAGATCCCAGTCTCCCCTGAACAGTGTTACAAATCCTGGGAAACAGCCAGGTGTCTGGAGTGAAGGCTGAGTGCAGGGCTGCGGCCGGGAGTGGCCCAGGGGGCAGTGGAGAGGGAGGGAGAGGGAAACAGGTCCCTAAGGAGGAGTCCCTTGCAAAGTCCAAAGCTGGCTTCAGACTCACTGATGCTCCACCGGGATTCCAGCTGCTCTGTGAAAATGAGGCCAGCACTGAGCAGCCTGGAGTGTCGCTCTGCAGGATGGACTAAACCCAGGGTTCATCGGGCTGGATTTCCAAGGCAGAGTAGGTGGGCTGGGCAGGAAAGAAACAATAATCCCTGGGGCAAATAGACAAGACTCCCAAATCGTCCAGAGGCACGTTGTGCGGTGTTTCGCCGATGGCCTCTAGCGTCCTTGTACCCGACACCTCCGGGGTTTCTCGTGCAGACTCGTGAAGCAGGTGGAACAATTTATCCCCGGCTCACGGGGAAGAACGCAGAGGCAGGCAGGTGAAGCACGCTGATTAAATACCACCATGGAGATCCCACCATTTACAAAGCACCTCCCCATCCTTGCTGGAGTATTTCTGCTCCCATTCCCCATAGCACAGGCACCTGCCAGGTGGGGTGTGCCGGGATGGGCCTTGGCACACCAAACGGGCACCCTATGCCCACTGAAAGGAAAAGAGGCGGTGCCGGAACAGGTCATCCGAATCCACTGAATGTGGCCACCTAGGGAAGCATGACGTGGATGCCCGGGGCTCCACGGCCTGCCCCCAAGAAGGGATGTTCAGAGCAGGATCTGCGGGATTCAGGAGAGCTCACCAGACAAGTGCAGGGACAGAAGCGTGCTCTGGGCAGAGACCATGCTCCTCGCTGGTGGGAGTACAAGAGTAACAGGAAGGAGGAGTCAGAGGGCAAACAGGAAGGTAGCTCAGCTGACGCCCATAGGGTGAATCGGGCTCGGAGTTGCAGTCCTAGAGATGAAGGAAGAAGGGCAGGCTTGGCCCCAGGGCAGATACACATCAGACCTGCACTCTACCCTGTACAGGAGCTGCCATTGCAAAGCAAAGGGGACCATGCAGAGACCAGTGTGCAAACGAAAATGAGTTTGTGGGCCTCAGCTCAGCCAGGCAATTCACTGGCTAGTGGTGGGGGCAGCTCAAAGACCTGATAATGGAGACCATGTCAGGAGGGCTGACCCTATAGGCCACCTGTGCCGTGAACTCAGTATTTACCCTGGGATGCCCTCAGGCACAGGGATCTTTCAGTGTCTTCATTCTCTTCCTGCTGCACTCTACAGAAACGGGTTCTTGCCGGTGCTGCACATGGCAGGCAGATATGGGAGCGGATGCTCTTCCTAAATGGCTGGAAAGGACTCTTGGTCACACCAATCCTCACACACTACTGAACAGCTAGAGACGTCAACTCCACGGTGTGGCTACAGCCCGAAACCAGTTAAGACCGCCCCAGGAATTCCATGCCAGGTGACTCGTGAAATCTGCTCCCACCACTGTCCTAGGAGCTCCTCGGGCCCCAGGTTGACCGAGCTCCCACACAGGAAGAGCAACGCCTGCCAACCACCCTGCACGGGCTCCTCCTGCCCTCCTGTGCTCCAGCCGCATCCACCCAACGGGACCAGGCTGGGCCTGGACGCTTCCCTGCCTCCTCCCCCACTGTCCCTGCTGCCAGGAGTGGGCTTGCTCAATGATATTCTGCTGGCCTCTCTGCAAGGCCGAGTACAGCTGAGATCACAGGTTCCAATCCTGCTCTGATACGTTCTGCGTGAGCTTCAACCACAACTTAAACCACCTGAAGCCTGGAGTTCTTACTCTTCAGAAAGGCAGCCTGGGCACAGTTCAGTGACAACGTACATGTGGCAGTCTTCGCGGTTGTGCGTGGCAGCAGCCTAAAACCCAGCAGACCGCTCATCAGCACACCCATGGCCGTCATCATCTAGCATCGCCCTCGCTGCACACACCACAACTGTAGCTGTGCTCTTGTTGGTGCTGTAGGTCCCTGCGCAGGCCCATCTCCATCTGTGTGTAGGCGATGAACAACAAAGCTCTGTCCACCAGCTGTGCAGCTCCGGGTAAGTGGCCTTTCTGTGCTTCAGGTTCCCACTCTGCAAATGCAGATACCACCATACCTCGGCTCACAGGCTCCATCACCTCCCTTCCTGGTCTCAGCTGACTGGGATGAGAACAGCTGCTGTGGCGGGTGAGGACCCAATGACTCGCGCGTAGACGGAGGTTAGCATGCTGCCTGGCACTGATCCGCACCGGGCCAGTGTTCACTGTTGTGATTCTCATCACCGCCAGGCCTGCCAGCTCCACCGCTACCAACGCCCCTGCCACCCGCAGCAGCTCTTCATCGCCATCGTTCATCGCTACTGTCGTCTTTGTCAGACTCGCGGCAGAGCGCCAGGGCCGGTGAGTTCTCCGAGTGTCTGCTACCTCCGAGTCGTCCATGTGACGTCTGAGCGTGTAAGGGACGGGCACGCGGTGAGCAGTGGTACACAGTCTGATGAACCAGGCGTCCGCCCCAGGGAGGAGAGGTATCCCCCGGTACGCACTGCTCCCCCGTGGACGTGATGGGCCCTGGATAGCTATCAGAAGGCCGCACGATGCCAGCGGGGACCCCGACTCACCGCTGTCCTCCGGAACTCACTCTCCCGTGCAGAGCCCAGCAGCCTGGCTTCCCAGGTCTTGCAGGGCTCTCTGTCCTCCGCAGTGCCAGGAGCTCTGGGTCAGCGCAGCTCTGCTCACCAGGAAGCGAGTGCGTCCCAGCAGGCCGGGCCCTCGCACTGCACTCACCATGGCTGTGAACTAGCAGCTCCTCAGACTGGACTGTCTGAGCCCCCTCCCTGCCCTGCTAATTATTTCTAAGCTGTGACCTAGCTGCTAGCATTTAAACAAGAGTTGACAAACAAAGCTAAAGTGGAAGCTTCTATCGGAAATGCTGAAGGCCAACGACAGAGGCTAAGTTTCCCCGTGGCGCACAAGCAGGCTGTCACCGGGCAACAGGCGCCCTTCATGCAGGGTGCGTCACCTCCTCGCCACAGTCCTCGCTGCTCACCAGCATCACACTGCACATCTGCTGTCCTGATCCTTCACGCCTCCCGCCCACTTGCTGCAGCGGCCAGTCTCTGTGCGGCACGGCGCTCCCACCCGAGGAGCCACAGGACGCTAGTGCTAACCTGTCCTCCTCTCCTCCTCTCTCGGCGCTCCGTCCTTCTTTCTCCTTCCTTCCTTTCCTCCGACCCATGCGTCCAATCATCCCTTCATCCATGCATGCATCCATCCATACTGGGGATCCACCCCATGGGTGCTTTCCCACCGAGCCACATCCTCCGCCCTTGGGAAACAAAGTCGCACCTTTGAATTTGAATTTGTGATCCTCCAGCCGCAGCCTGCCCCTGTGCTGAGAGTGCAGGTGTGTGTCACCGTTCCTGGCTTCCTCTGTGTTTGGAGACAGTTTATTTTTCCACCAATGATAAATGAGCGGCCCTGCCGCTCTGCCTTGATAATACAGTCCATTCAGTCATCCCTGAAAACCTCCACAGTCCTCCCCACGTGGATGGGTGTGCGAAGCACATCTGCTAGCAGGGGCAGGAGCCAGGAAGCCAGCCAGGGCCCAGCCACAGAGGCTGCGGGGGCCTCAGAACTACTTTACAGGAGGAATGGCACGCAATGGTCATCGGCCCTCTCTGAGCAATGCGGGGAGACCAGGAAGGCTCAGCCGCCTCCCTGCCTCCACGCCTCCTCCCCCTCCTCCCCTTTCCATTCCCACATCGAGCAGCATCTGAGTAAAGCACTTCCATTCCGCTTCTTTAAAAAATGTTAAAAAAAAGAAAAGAAAAACAGTTTTCAGTGGCATATGTCATCACTGAATTAATGCTGTTTGCCTTTTCCTGGCTTGGCTCTCATCCCAGTAGAAGCAAATAAGAACGGAGCACAATGTACTATAAATGCTACATGCAGCCATATTTCAGATGGGCCGAGCCGAAAGGCTTCATGTCCCAAGTACAGGCTCGGCCCTGGCCGTGGGATAAAACCTCTTTGTCATCAAGACTCACCTGGACTGGGTGGGACAGGGCACTCTCGGGAGCCTGGGAGGCACCGAGAGAGGTGGACTTGCACACCTTAGGTTTATAGCCTGCTTACATCCCAGGAATTTTCCTACAGTAAATCCCCGACTTACGAATGAGTTCCACTCTGGGAGAACACTCCTAGGTCGGATCCGTCCCTACGTCCAACAAAGTAAGCCTTATAGGGAGTCACACAGCGTACAGCATAAAAACACCCGACGCTCACACACAATAGTACAGTACGTCCTAAATGTACTGTGCTGCTGTCCACTGTCCCACAGTGCACAACTGTGACAGTGTCCAGAAGAATTTCTTATAGGGAGTCACACAGCGTACAGCATAAAAACACCCGACGCTCACACACAATAGTACAGTAAGTCCTAAATGTACTGTGCTGCTGTCCACTGTCCCAGTGTCCGCTGCGCACACAGCAGCACAACTGTGACAGTGTCCAGAAGAATCATGAATCTTCCGAGATCTGCTTCTATCTACGAATGTTCCTAACGTAAGGTCAGTTCACGTCTCTGAGAGTTCCCAACACGAATGTTTCTAGAGCACTTACTGGAGTCAAGAAGAGTAACCACTCACTCTAAAGTAAGGTGGCTGCTTTTTGTCCAGTTGTGACTCAAAACACACGTGATAGAAAATGTATCACCTTAGCCATTTCTAAGAATAGAGTTTAGCGATGTTAAGTATATTTACACTCGGTTGGTGGGCAACCGATCTTGAGAACATTTTCATTGTATTAAAGTGAAACTCTGCGCTCATTAAATTAAATTCTTTACATTCAGCCTCTGGTAAGCATCCTACTCTGTTTCTGTCTGCTGAACGCTGTATCCCAGTACCTTCTCTAAGTGCAGTCAGACAGTAGCTGTCCTGCTGTGCATGGCTTGTGTCACTGAGCATAATGTGGCACCCATAGCACTTCCCCTACTCCCGCATCCCCAGTCCATCACCATCAAGTACATGTGGCGAAAGAGAGGTCGTCTGGAATCTCTCACCATATTCCAAGCCGCATAAATACAGCCAGTCCTGATCTGCCAGGCTGCCTGCAGCGGCACTCAGGGCGAGACTGTGTTTCTGAGATAATCGGGGCCGAAGCGTGCACTTTCTTCGCTCACATACCTGGTTTTCCCTGAGAGATGCCCAATCTGTCCCGTTCAAAGTTGGCTTGGGGGAGACAGATACTTTCTAGGAGGAAATGAGAGCGTACTCTGTCACCAAACAACACCCTGAGCCTACTGTGAGCTGGTAGGAAACATCATGCCTGGGCTACGTGTTTTCAGACACTGCCACGTGTCCCTGAGGGGAGCGACAAAAGTCACCAAACTGAGGACCTCTTCTTTGCAGAGGCACACAGCGAAATACGCGCTTGATAGTATTTCATTTACAATCAGCTCATGCTGCTCACTCCGGGAGCTGGTGCCAGAGCCAGGAAGGGACCACACAGCACGTATGTGTGTGCTTTCACCCCATCTTCGGGCTGTGTCTTGTGCATGCTGTGTGACCTGAGCTCCGGTTTCCTCTCTGGTGTGACAGGACCGCCTTCAAGGGAAAGCTGCAGGGAAGGAACACAGGCAGCGCCAGCACACAGGGAAACTGAGGACATTGCTGTTTCAATCTTAAGGGCTTTCAGGTTGGGCACTTCGAGCCTGAGGGCTCCCAGGGTCTCCCCAGAGGGCAGAGCAGTTAGAGCTCAGCTCCCCACCCCCAAGGAATCACCCAGCTCTGTCTACACACAGCTCTTGAGCCACACAGAAGCTACCATTGGCCACATGTGGCCTATCGGTTGCACTGTGCTGGGTCCTGACCCTCAGGACCCTCCTCAGGGCAGACCCGGAAGAGAAGCATTCCAGAAGCCTTAGTGAATGAGAGTTTGAATATTATGGTTCCGAGCGAGAATCCCCCTCAGTGAGTTTTCTTTAACACGTGGAGTGGGAAAAAAATTAGAAGGCAGATCATCGAGAATCCCCCTCAGTGAGTTTTCTTTAACACGTGGAGTGGGAAAAAAATTAGAAGGCAGATCGTCAGTAGCACAGGAAGGGAATGGAGGCAACAGGGAGCGGGATATAAAAGAGCCTCACTGAGGTGCGTGTGACCGAATTATACTACACGCAGGTATGAAAATACCACACTGAAATCCAGTATTTGGTAAAATGTCAATGCACGGATGAAAACTACATTGAAAAAGTTTTCCTCCTTTAAGGAAACAAAAAGATGGCCAGGCCTGGCACGACACCATGAGTCCATGGACTTTGTGGACCCTGCAGTGGTACTGCTGGAACACTCGGCACCCGAGAACGTTTGATCACATCGCCCGTGTTGCTCAACATCTTGCAGTCTGGCAAAATGAAGAATTTCTTATTAAGGAAAGCTCTCCCAACAGTCACAACCCTTCATGCTATGGCTCCCTTGTGCAAGCTCTCGGGATGTTTCACTAAGATCCGAGCCTCCACATGCAGCCTGTGCCTCCCAAAGAGAGCCCGTCTGCTGGTGTCCGTGCAGTCGTGGACCCCATCCTCCTCCAGCTCCCTCATCTGTGTGCACGTCCACCCGCCGTCCCCCTGTCAAAGGGACATCTGAGAAGCAGGCCGAGTGCACTACTCTGTAGGAGTCCTCAGCCCAAAAGTCAGACCACTCAAGTCCAAAAATCAATTCCAAGTCCACTCCTGGTCCTCAGAGGAAACACACCACTGCTCCTAACAGGGTTTCCTGAGTCCACCTCTCCCTCCCCAAAATGTCTCCATGCAGAGGCCCAGGGAGTGTGCAGAGAAATGCTACAGCCTACCACTGAATTCCCATTTCGAGCACGACCAAGTCCGCAGCATGGCCAAAGACGCCTTCCTCATCTGAGCTCCACCAGCCTCATCCCACGGTCCAACTACACTGGCGTCCTGCAAGCACCCTACTGGTCCCACGCTCATCCCGCTTTAGGGTCTCCAGCGCTGCTGCTCCTGCAGTCTAGAACGCACCTGCCAGCGTCTGTACCTGGCTGTTTCTCACCGCGTGGCTCTCTGCTCACATGTCATCCCGGAACACGCAGTGTCACACGGACCCCACCCCAAGTTTACCAGTGAAGATTACTTTTATAGCCACGTTTACTAGGATATTCTCAGACACCCTCACTAAAACACAAATCCCGGGAAACAGAAGTCTTTCTTGATCTCCCTTCCATTCCCAGAGTCAAGCCCTCGGCCTGGAGCGCTTCTTTACTAGCTTCAAATGCAAGAAATGAAACTTGTTGAAGGCGTCCCCCACAGGAGCAGGAATAGCTTCACAATCGTCCTCCTATTTCCTTCAGACAGTTTCACAGAAGGCTACTGAGGACCTCTCCACGTAAGCGCAACTGAGACCGAGAAACACCCACGGGAGACCTCTACTTAAAAAAAAAGTTCCTATCAGCTTTAAGGGGAAAGTAATTCAAAACATGAAAATTTATTCTAAGTTGTATCTTAACATACGAGATCTCAGCTTTAGATGAATTTTAATGTTTACAAGTGCAAAAGCAAATAAATATTTACCAGTTGCCTTTTTCTTGCACTCTTATAACTCCACAACAGCTTAGATTAAAAAAAAATTGTTGCTAAACATCTTGCAGTCTGGCAAAATGAAGAATTTCTTATTAAGAAAAGCCCTCCCAACAGTCACAACCCTTCATGCTATGGCTCCCTTGCAAGCTCTCTGAATTTCTTATTAAGAAAAGCCCTCCCAACAGTCACAACCCTTCATGCTATGGCTCCCTTGTGCAAGCTCTCGGGATGGTTCACTAAGATCTGAGCTCACGAGAAGCAGAGAAAGCATGGAAGAGACTTCCACGGAAGAGACAGGAGCCCAGCAAGGGACGTCCAGCCCCACCCTCCCCAAATCTCATCTCTGTAAGCTGCGCGGGGCACACAGCCCAGAGCAGCTCCGGGCCAGAGGATCCTTCTCGGGCTAGGACCACGCACTCATATGGGCTCCTCAGATGGAAACCCTTCCTTCTTTAGGCTTCAGCGAAAAGGCCTGAGCTCGAGGTGTCCCTGTCCTCCTCACCATCTTCCTGGACAGTCTCCAGCTCATTTATTCAATTGCCACTTCGCCACCGAAAATAAATCAGGTGGTTTTGGGGTTTGCCAGCTCACCACCTACATGGCCTGCTCTGGGATGTGCCTGCATCCTAAATTCCTGCGTGTGCTCCGGCTGCTCGCTCTCTGCCACCTGTCTGCTCCCCGAGCCAGGCGGCCTCGTGGGCCCCATCCAGCCCAGGTGGGTGCTCTGTCCCACCGCCCACAGACTGAGATCTGAAGGAGCGAACTGCAGGTGGACATTGTTTTTGTTCAGTACCTAGAATACTGGCTCCTGAGACTTCGAGGCCTACCCCAAATTTGCTCTCTTCTTTCATTTTCTGCAGGCCTCGAGAGTGAACCCAGGCCCTTCCCACTGGCTCCATTCCCACTCCTCCCTTTTTTCTCCAGGGACACAGTGTCCACTTGGCAGTTTCCAGCCTCAGCTTCCCAGAGTGTGGGGTTACAGCTGCTCGTCAGGGCCCTGCCCCACTCCAAGAGGAGGGGTCGCCTTTCTCACAGCAGCATGGAAGCTGCAGCAGGGCCAGCCCCACTTACCTGGATGGACAGTGATGAACTTGCTGTCCTCGGAAAATCGGTCCCTGGAGGGCGGCCTCCTCGATGGCACTCCGGGCCTCCTGAGATCACTGCCGGCACGATGCTCCTCTGTGGCGGCGGGGGGCACTTGGGTGGAGGGGACCACGTCAGAGCCTGGGCCTGCCTGGTGTGAGCGGGTGACAGCGTGGTCCTGCCCCAGCCCAGATACAGTCTGATGGCCGCCCTCCTGCGCCGTCCTGCCGGGGGATGATGCGGCTGGGGTGGG